GAGAGAGAGAGAGAAAGAGAGCTTTTAGCCGAATCTAATTTTACGCGGTACCATCAATGCAATGCTCTCTTTTCACCGGTACTATGCGTAAATCTCCTTTCCAACGATAAATACTAGCACGAGATGCATCGGGATGCGCGAATATTCGTATGCATTGTGATCCGTCGTGTTGAAAGCCGCGTTACGTTTTAATTTGCATCATATATTCGCTTGCCCGTTATGTGATACAATCGTGGCGTGGAGGTAATCCTTTAAATATTTTATATCGCTAAAAGATTATTTCAAACTGTGGCCGTTTATAAGAGTGATAGCTAATTAAATTCCGTGCTATGTTCAAATATCTTCAGTAGGATTCGTTCGATTTTGTTAAAACAAAACGTTCCATTATTATTTCGAATTGATTTGTTATATTAAAGTAGAAAAACGGTAATTTTTTTTTAATAATCAAATTGTCTCTGCGAGAATTTTTATGTAACAGAAAGTAAATAATCATCATATTTATTTGAAACGCCAAGGGTATAATTAAATAATAATAATGATAATAATGACGGTTGTAGTTCGCAATTTTCCACGTTTATTTTTAATCATTTTGTTAAGGAACGAGGAAAAGACATGCATTGAGACCAATGAACGATAAATTAACTATCCTTCTTGCAGCTCGCTAATTAGCGCAATTGATTGCTCATTATCTCCATTCATTAATTAGAAAAAAGTGCTTAACATTCATCGTCTAAAACAAGTCGCTTCGAACGCCGCGGACGGCGTGGCGTCACGTCATTTCACGCGAACGATCGAAAACACGCCAAACTGTGGCGCGGGCCATTTCGATCGATACGAATATTAGCGAATCAAAATGGTCATCCAAAACAGTAATGATGCAATAATTACCTCGCGATGCATGCCGGTTGCATTGCAGCATCTCTCGCGATTGAATCGCACGTGTTATTTCCGGAAAGGGAAGGAGGAAACAATTTCTGGTGTACTCTCTTTTTGCTTCTCTCGGGGTCTTTTCCTTTTTTTTCTCTCGCGGTTGCGAGGAGAAGACAACGAGACAACAGGTTGGTCGTCGTTGCTTCTTCGTATGAGGTATGTCGTCGAGAACGAAACCAAGAGCTCCTTCGAGCGC